TAATATAATTGAGGAATGCTGATGAACATGTAAGGCCCTACAGTCATTGTGAGACTCATGAAAACAAAGACAACAAGAAAAGCCACCCATGTGCGGGTCCCACCATGTCTGTAGCCTTTAAGGTGTGGTGCTATCGGTTGGTCGGTTCTGACTGACCCGGGTCAGGATAAACCCGGTCCTAACCCGATAAGTAAATTGCAGAGCCATTTTGAACTAGACACTATAGGGTCTTGAACCGGGAGTGGGCAATTATCACTGATAATTTGATAGCCTTACTTTTTAACTTGGAACAATCAAAACTGATGTCAACCCACTTATGATCAGACAATATAATGTAGACTGATACCCTATAAAATTCGAACGGTTTTGGTTCGGGTCTATCGGGTCTTGTTAGCTCATTGGCAGCCCTACCTTTAGGACCCTGTTTGTTCAATAGTTAGATATATTGTTTACTAGCATTTCTCCTATCTATAAGATCTTAATTATTCTTATATCTAGCTCCTTATTTCCTCTAATATCATGAAGAAAAAACTCGTCAAGACTGTCGTTTTTTGGGTTAAAGTCAAGACAGTCGTTGAAAAAGCTTTATCTATTCCAGTTTCTCCAATTTAATTATTTAGATAGGTGTAGGTAAGAGTAGTATTAGAGGTATGATATGAGGCGTTTCTTATTATAATATTACTGGAAAATCGAAACCCAGTTGAAATAAGCAAACAGTGCCTCTTGTTGTTGTGCGTACCATTTATTTTCACGGGCAAATCTTAGCTCTGATTCATAGGATCTTTGTTTTGCAGATCATCTCCTCGCCTTATCAGGCTGGAATAGACCGTGTCTATATTTTACGTTTCAAGTATGTCATATAAAATGACAACCCATTCTAGACCTTTTCACTTCTTACGCTGGAGAGAGAGAGAGTAAATTAAAACAAAACTGTAAGGCTGGTTTTTCTCTCTACCAAAACCATTTGATTGATAAGTTTTGACGTCTGGTGTCTGGAATTCATAACATGTGGTTGATGAAAAACATTCCACAGGACCAGAAGCTCCACAGCCCTCTCTCTCTCTCTCTCTCTCTCTCTCTCTCTCTCTCTGTGTTCTGTTGTCAACAGTTCATGTTCTGGAGGTATCTGAATATGTCATAGAATAATGAAGAATGCAGCTTTCAGGAATTAGGATGCAACATCCAACATGTGTTACTGGGACCCTCACCCATCTGCATTTTCTTTCCTCCCATAATTTCTATTCCAAGTACATCCATTGATTCTGCACCGATGGGTAGGACCCAGTGATGGAGATCACCGTATGCAATCCTTTCAGTTTAAGCTTTTCAAATGAAGTGGATATCAGAAAAAAAAAAAAAGTAAGATCCCATTTTCCTTATTTTCCGACTCCTCAGAAAAGATCATCAGAGGCCATGGGATCTTCCAATTATCCAATTTCCTGTATTAAAAAAAATATGGAAAATGGGGCCTTATGAATTGATCTTGGACCCCAAAAGAACACATGATATGTTCTATATATGATATGGGCCGTAGTACAGAAGGAGGGCGGTACAGACGCTCTCCTTGATGCATTTTCCTTTTCTTCTTAACGAGTATGTTTCTGGTATGGCCTACTTGGACGTAACCTGTTTCTTCATTTGAAATAGAAAACAAAATACAGTCTTTATCGTACTTACCCATAAAATGATCAATCTTTAGAATTTGGATTATGGCTCCTAAGTGAGACAATAGAACATCATCTATACTCAGAGTAGTGCATAAAGGAAAGAAGGAAAGTGGTTCTGGGGTTGGCTTCTTAATCTTAACCTCAACCAACATGTAAAATTAAGAAGTTGACACAGCTTTCAAATCTCTTCTCCAAAATATTAATACCATTGTGTCAAAGTTCTTTTTCATGATTTTTCTTTTTTCCTGAAGTGGAAAGAGAGATGATAGAAGTGTGTGAAAGAAAAAAGAAAGAAAAAAAAAAAAACAAGCACCAAATCTTTGTGATTTTAGCAAATTGATGCAGGAAGACTAGAGAAGCTTAGAAAAGGGGTTAATCTGCTTTGGAGTTTGCAAGCAACACTGAGCAATTACTACTTGGGTTCGTGCCTGAACCAAAATCACAGATGTCTGGTTCCATAAAATAAAAACCATGTATGATAATCTGGCCTGATTCAGTAATGACTAATGAAAAGCACTGATACAGGAGTGCAAACCCATGAGAAATTGACTATGAAAATCATCTTGAGTTCATACTTCAGAGGGATTATAATTATGTGAGTCCTCATCACTAGTTCCCTGCGCAACAAATCTGATCTTGTAATTAAGGGTTGAAGGAATCCACATGGTGAATGGGTTCTTCCTCTTGATTTATTTATTTTTAACCCGGAATCCCTTTTTCCTTTTCTGGGTGGGGTGGGATCAAGTTAAGTAAACAATGAACAAAACCGCATGTGAGAATGAAACTGGAAGCTGACTCGACTGTGACGCGGTCAAGGTCATCGTCCCTTGATTTACTACTTTGCATAAATGGACACCTCGTCCTCGTGGCCGGCTGCACCAAATTAACAATGAAGCTTATTGCTTGCATCACGCATCACGCGCTCTCCAAACAGCACTCCGCATGGTTCTATGGTCTATACATGTGGAACCAAAAGGTCCACTGTGTCTACAACTGGATTAATTATTGGGTTGGACTTGAGATTTCACACCCAACTGTAGTCTGTAGTCTGCTCACCAATCCCATACAATCTCTTCACAAGGAAAAGAAACAAAATGTTGTTTGGTATGGTAAAAAAATAACAACTCTTTATGAACTTCTCCTCAACTTTCTATTTCAGAGGTGGCGTTTGGCAAAATTGCACTCTGAAATAAAAAAAAAAAAAAAAATGAGTGTGGCAATGGATAGAACCTTAACACTATGGCCATAAAATAACAATAGAAGGGACCAGTGTGATGCAGGGACCGGTTTTAAAAATGCCCATAAAATAACTCTATGAACTTCTCTCTCTCTATCATATACTTCTTGGGTACCTCCTGTAAGCCGAAAATGACCACTCCACTACACATTTCCCCAAGTTCAAAGAAGAATACATTCATCTTCTCATTTCATGATTCCAAGTTATTTCCATGCTTCACGTTTCCTTTTTATGAAGTCATTAAGTCCAATGACGATGAGCTCATAAGAATTTTTGGTCCTTATATTTGAAAAGAAATAATGGAGGAATATCAGACGAGAAGTAGGAAATTATGACATACAGACAGAAGACTTGAAATGCATGGACAAAATCTGGTTCTGTTATCCTCCACAAGGCGATTGGACACATGTTTAATTTAGCTATTAGATGGTGATTAGGAGGAACAAGTTACATCAGTAGCGTTTGTAGAGATCCATTACTATCATACTTGATAAAAAAACTTCTTGCCTCAAGTAGCTGCAAGTTTACTACTCTTAGGCTCAATCTGTAAAATTTTAGTTACATCTCTACCTCTTTCACGCCTAATACTCTGTTTTCTGCCCCTGCTACAAAGAAGCAAATGCAGCTTTGTGGGCAAGAAAAAAAAAAAAGAGAATCCTGTATCATTGATTTGATAGCAATACAAGCACTGTTCAAGGTATAAAAACCCAATACAAGAACGCGTTTACAGTAAAACTCAATCCCTTGATAGCAACTAGTCGCTCTGCAATGTTGGTTTGCCCTCAACTCTAGCTACCAGAGAAGGGATTTTCAAACCGACCACCAGATGGTAACATCTATTCAGAACATTATCACGATATGATACCAATTTCTATACTAAACTTTCTCCCTTCGGTGATATATGGGTTGTGCTCTAAATAGTTCTCCCCGAGGGTGGTGAAGCTTCATATTGTTGAAATCTGTAGCTAGGGGTGCAACTCCAACTCGGAACATTTTACAGTGCTTCATGATCAGGCTTTAGGGTTGGCAATTTTCCCCTTGGGGATCCGACTTCCCCGACCCAATGGGAACAGGAATGGGGATTGTTTTGGCAGGGCAGGGACAGGGTTGGGGTCAGGGGTGGGGATTGAAATATACCAAAACATATTTAAAACAATATTTATAATTTGAAATTTTTATATATTTTAAGTAAATTTATTTTAAAAAAAAATACTGTTATATAAAAACATTTAGGGCATTTGGGTCCCCACAGAAAACCCATTCCCATCGGAGATTGGGGATGGAGGACAAATTTTATCCCCGACGGGGATCGGGGACGGGGATAGGGGTTAATTTCAGAATCGGGGTCGGAAACAGGGAATATGATCCCTACCCTATTGCCATTCCTAACCAACATGAACCCAATATCAGGTAAGGGTGTTTTGGATGTTTCAAATGGTAGAAGACATCCTCAGTAGCCTATATCCCAATACATGCTTAGGATTAGGGTTAGGATTGAGTTAGTGCCGACCTAATCCAGCCCAATTTGCACCCCTATAGTGAAACTGATCCTAAACTGTTGATCAAGCGAGCCTTACCACAGCAGTTGGTTTTATGCTATAAATGATACAGAAGTAGAGGAAGGGATATGGGCCTCACGAGATAGCACATTAGAAAGCAAGTTAACTTGTCACCCACTCCCACCAACCAAGTTAATGGAGAGATACGGCAGTGGTCACAAGTCATGAGGGAAAAGAAACCTACAAATAACTTTGTTTATCTACACTCATCTTTTCCTTTATTATTTGATATTACCATACTACTGTTTGTGAAAGCTTAACAGAATAAAAAAGTACAAAGACTAAGAGCCATCCTCACCTCAGGACAGCTGATCAGGCAGGGTTTACAAACATGCTGGGCCAAGAACAATGGACCGTGACTCCGTGAGTCCACTGTCCCACATTCATTCTGCTCACTCTACGGAGCCAACAATGTGTATTTTATGTGGCACAGGTGCGGAACAAGCGGTCAGTCCATTCCAAGGCCTCAGTTATGGCAGTGGTCCCCTTGTTACACTACCCATAATTTCTGAATCTATGCGCAGGGGCTCTATTCAATTAGAGGCAGAAAACAGAGAATTTCTTTATAAAGAAACATGACTTTTCATCCGAAGGTCAAGAACAAGGACCAACTTTCTCTGTCACAACCAAATCCTTCACAGATGAATATCAAGAGAACTTTCTCTTCTTACAGGAAGTTAGGGGAATAACCTTCTCATGTACTCTTCTCAGTTCATTGCATCATAATCGTCCAACTTGTCATTATATTCTAACACCTTCCTCTTTATCTTTGATGAATCTACCCATGTAACAAAATCCTCCATGTTCCTGGTGACAAGGAATGCTGGATCAGTAACCGCTTCTGGGCCAACTCTGATATGTCCCTGTTCAATATATGTAACAGCTTCTTTCAAGTGTTCTGCAAACTTCAATTTAACCAATATAGTTGATAGCCTGCGCCTGGAGACATGATAAAATGCATCGTGATCATTCCAATAACATGAAAGACTCAATGACACAATGGTACACTACCATAAAAGGATAGGGTCAAAGATAATGGACGTTTTTTGGGATGGTTAGTTCAAACTGATTTGCATTACAGCATTACTAAGAGGATGCTTGCTGAAAGATGCATGCTTAGAGGATCAAGACCTACAAATGACCCAGTTCCACCTAAGGTATTTAACTCCGTGAAAAAATCAGCTACAAGCCTACAACAGATTATTAAAGCTATGCCTTTCCACTAATATGGTCAAAAGGGCCACAAAAAAATAATAATATGAAAATTTTGCAAATATCAGATGCTTAGAATTCATCCATCATGCTGTTAGATGGGGGGAAGGCTTGGCTGTTTGGAAAAAAAACAGACTGGGCTGTTTTGGAGGCTTCTTACACCTGACATGTTACCCCACTCAGTTCCTTATTTGTCTTTTCAATTAAAAGGATATTGATTGCAATTACTCTTTTACCTCACACCCATGCTAACATGTGATGAACATGAAGCTTCAAAACAAACCAGGCTGTTTTTCCAAACAGCCAAGCTTTTCTCGTTTGATGGGACCTGATTAGTAGTTGGTCCTGATCAGCACATGACAAGTTACAGGAGTGTTTTTATTTTTGAAGGGGCTTCTATTCGGCAGAAAAGCTTAATGGTTGATCTCAATCCTCTAACATGTAGCACATGGCAAGTTAAGAGAGCCCCAGACCACACACTACGTATGTCAGTGCTTACAACAGGGGGCAGGGGGAGAGAGAGAGAGAGAGAGCAGACCTGCAGAAGGAAGAGACAGATGAGCGATCGCACAAAGCCAAGCTCTTTCTAGTGGGGATTACACCTATGTTATACCTGGCAATTACATAGACACATCAAAAATTACATGAAATAAATGCTTTAATTGTAAGGGGGGGGGGGTTAATAAAGCCCAAGTATTCCAATATGCTTTGCAGGGTATACTATAATAAAGTTCAAAAGAGAATGGATATAACCATGAATCTTCAAGAAAAGTTTATGTAGCAGCTACTGCTGGAAGCATATTATCAACATGTAAGTTATGGATGCACATTCTAGCAGTGGTATGCTAAGCAAGGCAGGGCACATGGCAAGCCTATCTTGGTGCAATGACATAATTTGGCATTGACAACCAAGAGCCCAACATAATGCTACAAAAAAAGACTTGAGACATGAAAAGAAGACTTGCACAGGGATAACTCATAATTGTCTGCTAATGCAAATTATCGAATCAAGAAATGTCCAACCCCAGAGAGCAAGTGGCAGGAGCCTAAGTGGATCAAGTATGAACGAAAGAGACCTAAACCACATTTAGTCTTTCAAACCAGGGGAAAATCCATCGCTAGTAGCAAATAACTTTGAATAGGCCTATAGCCGTTTCTGCTCAATACATCAACTTACTTTTTGTTTTTAAGATTTTTTTTTTTTTTGGGGGGGGGCTACATTATAGGTATATAAAGAATTAACCCAATGCACACTCAACTAGCTGAATGCAAAAAGAAAAGAGAACCTTCATAGCAATATCGAGTCTCAAGTTCCAACATGCCCAAGGTAGAGAACTCTACTCCTCAAAGCCTTGTCACAATTACATGGGGTGGGCTACATAAATCCTGTTCTGCCATTCTGCTTATTCAGTGTGATATCCAAAAAAATAAAATAAAGATTGATAAGGATTTAGATAACGATTTTTTCTTATAAGAGTTTAGATGATGAAATTCCTATTACAAGACTCCATCTCCTTCCAAATCTCCAATTTAGAGGTAAAGCCTAAAGGAGCAACTTTGCAATTTTTCAGAAGATCCTACAAGGAACCTAGCAACAGTTGGCACACTGAAATAGTTATTAAATTATTCCCTAGCCTCCAAGAGAACCTGCAACCAATTAAGTAATCCACCCCTAAGCTACCACTTCATAATCCTTAATATTGGCCATAACATTTCAAAATCCTTTGCTTTTCAATTCAACTTGTAATGCCTAGCATGTCTAAGCATCTTTATCTGTGGCATAAAGTAGCATCATGTTCTGTATATATTTGAAAACACTGTTTATAATATGGCTTGTAGGTCCCATGGTGCTTTGTTATTTCACAATGGAGAGCTTGAAGATGCTGCCATAGAATTAGAGTAGGATGGGCAAAATGGAAGGGCACATCTGGAGTCTTATGTGATTGGCGAATACAACTTAGGTTAAAAGGAAAATTCTATAAAATAGTTGTAAGGCCAGTAATGTTGTATGGAAGACTGTTGGCAGTCAAGAAACATGTCTAAAAAATTGGTGTGGCAGAAATGCATATGCTTAGATGGATGAGTGGAAAAACTAGAAAAGGTAGGATCAAAAATGAAATCATTTGAAGGAACCTAGGAGAATAGGAATAGCTCCAATAGGTGGTATAATGAGAGAAAGTAGATTAAGATGGTTCTACAGCACCCATAAGAAGTGGTCTGTTGCAAGTTGAAAGCGCTAGAAGGGCTAGGAGCAGACCAAAAAGAACATGGGTTGAAGTAATAAGAAATGATTTAAGTGTTCATAATTTAAGTATTTAACAATGGAAATGGCACTGAGAAGAATGGATTGGCAAAACAGGATTCGTGTAGCTAATCCCATGTAGCTGGAACGAGGCTTAGATGTTGATGAGGCAAGATCAACAAATTGGTAACAAGATCATCAAAAGTACCGGATTTCTTCTATGAATCTGAATTTAAGAATATTTCTCACTTGTTCATTGCTCGCCACTATACATGGAAAATTTGAGAGCATGCACAGCTATAACACATTTAAAATTTTGACTATAGAGGTTATAGGTTATTGGAAATTTCAGAGATAAAAACATCATTTAAAAAATCATGAAAACTGAGTTTAATGCCTCAATTTATCAAGCATAGCTTAAAACCAAACCTCCAAATTAATTCCAGCTATGAGGATCAATTGTAAGCAAACCTGTTCAAGAGACTTGACTGAGATTCTCCAAAAAATCTCAGCAACTCCAATGTCATGCAAGTGTGGATCTTGGGAAAATCAAGCCAGCTCCTATTACATGCCAAGCTTACAATTTGGAAGATTTGATAGCATCATTAAAACACAGTATGGCCAACCTCTAACTATCCAAAATTTGTGTAGGGCCCAGCTAAGTGAAAATTAAGCAGATTTACCATAATGCCCACTGTGTCAACTCTCCAAAACTACAAATTCTCGGTTTAAGTGCCTTTTATTTAACAGCAGTCCAACCGTGTAAGTTGTCCAATAGGGGACTGTAGTATCTGTATTTTGCCCAATGTAAACATAACTAATGACCCGTTGTTCATTGGATCTCTTCCATTTAGCATTTAAATCAGGAAAACCATGAAAATCAACTAGTGTGGCCACATGGCAAATAGACAAAGGCTGTGATTTTAATTTGTCAATTATATATTGTAATTTAACTATTTAAGTTGTTCTGGACATATAGTTCTATGAATTTGAGGAACAATATAAAAAACTTATAAAAGGGCAGCCCAGTGCACGAGGCTCCCGCTAATGCAGGGTCTGGGGAGGGACAGATGTACGCAGCTTTACCCCTGCACATACAGAGAGGCTGTTTCCAAGATTTGAAACCCTGGTCACCCAGGTCCCAATGGAGCAACCAAACCATTGCGCCAAGGCCCACCCTCAACAATGTAAAAACTATGATATTTAATATATAATAAAATATGCATTTATGTGAGGCATGTCCATGAATCCTACTCTTTTGGGTTCAGAACACATGACACATTCCAGTTCCTGTGTCTATGTCTATGCAACATTGCATATTAGAAAAATTCAAAAAGGTTGAGAATACAAAAAATTAAAAACCTAAAAGCATTGACAAAGAAATTCCAATGCTATAGAGAAGCCCCGTCTTTAGGGGGCATCAATGAACATCATCTTCTGCATCTCAATTTTTTTCTTTTTTTTTTTTTGGATAAGCAAATGAAATGTGTATACTCACTCAAAAAGAAGGTTGACATGCCAATGGTGTCGTATCCAGAGTGGCATTGTTTTCTGAAGGTACCTTTGGCCATTCATCCATCTCCCCCGTGCCTTTGCCTCCTCCTCCCTCATTAAAATTTGCCATTCATTGAAACAAAATACTTATGTAATTGAGCTAATACGGGGTTGTGGACTGTGGAAGGGGGGGAGTTCCCAATGGAACTTGCTAAAAGGTTTTTTAAAAATAAAGAATGAATGATTATTTATTTTGGTAAATAACAAATAAGACAGGTTATATTTGCAAAGAACCCAGAGACTGAGCAAAAGAACGCAGTAAAACAAAATTACCATATTGAATTCAAGGACAATCAGAGAGTAGGATCAACTAACGAAAAGAACAATCAACCTTGTCGTAATTCAAGCTATGGTCGTGCAGCAAGAAATTTCAAGCTTCTATTCATCCTTGAATTGAATAATATTGAGAGAATGAAATTTTGATGAATAAATAACTAAATAATAAGTAAATTTCGTCGAGATTTATTGATATAGCTAGCTAAGGCACTTGAAGAGAACTCACAACTTTTCAAGGAGCATATCGGTCATCTCGATACGGAAAGGATCTCTCGGATCCATTGTCATCAACATGTTCACAAGCTTCTGCACCACCCAGCATAAACTCGAATATCTGAAAGAAAAACCAACAAAAGATAACACACTTCACGTCTCTTCACATTGCGAACAACAGAAACTACCTAAAGTATCAAAAAATAGAAAATCACATCGAACAATAAATAATAGCATAGATCTCTTAAGCTACAGATAGAGAGAAATGGAATCACTTTTTATAATCGTCTCTGCCGGTGACATGGTAACGTTGCATAACATGGGCTTCCCCGTGTCCTCCTTCCCTCTTCCATTCGAGAAAATTCACCTTCTTCAGAAGTTTCTTCTCATGGAACTTGAGCTTCCTCATAGTCACCACTGTTGCGTAAAAGCAGGAAAATTTCAGGCCGAGCAAGGGAGCGAGCGAGAACCAGAGAGAAATTCTAAACCCCGAAACCAGGCCACAAAGGCAATGGGGACCTGATCCAAATTCCCCCACGCACCGGTTGTAGTCCCAACAACCTCTCCTAACGGCCATTGGCCATTGTAGCTGTACGTTCTAAACATCCTTTTAGGGATCTGCTACCAACCAAACGCTGCCAATACTGTCCCAACAAGCCAATGCAGCCGGACAGTCGGAACGAATTGGTATCTACTGCCAACAAAACATATTCCAACCCTCTACCAACTTCATCTTACACCACAGATCTTAAACTCGCCATAAAAGTGGGATCCGTCGTATATGAAATGTGCCGTTAGTAGAGGGTTGGAATGTAATTTATTGGTAGGTGATCCTGATCCCAATTACCATTACAGCTGTACATTATGAACATCTTGCCATGAATGACAAGGGAGATGCTCTCAACCCCAACATGTGTACATTATGAACATCTTGCCATGAATGACAAGGGAGATGCTCTCAACCCCAACATGTGTACATTATGAACATCTTGCCATGAATGACAAGGGAGATGCTCTCAACCCCAACATGCAGCTGCAAAGCAGTTGGAACCCAATATTGGGAGTTGATTCGTGCATGTTTTGTTTCTAACCAATCGAACTGACGTCCTATAGTAGCTCTTCATGACAAGTATGAGAGAAGATTACATCAGCGTCCTACAGTAGCTCTCAGTGTATTGGAAACATCTCCCGATGGACAGTGAGATGTGCATGTGGGACGCTTGTGAGGCGCCAATGTAATATCACATGGGAGATGTTCCAATTCACGTTTATGGAGAGATTGGCTTCAGTCAGTGCAAGGCCGGTTCAAACAGTGTTTGATTAGCTTTTACAGCTTGCATCCAGAATATCTTCGTATTTCTATACTTTATTTTATGAAAAGATATTCTCAATGTAAGACTATAATGGTTGTTTGAGTTCGCACTAACTAAATCCCATTTCGTCTATGGTTGTTTGGCATCAATTCACAGTCAGGATACATTCCCCTTGTACTTTGGGGCTAAAAAATTCTGATCTAGGCTGATTGGTACTTCTCCCTAATTTATATCCAAGTTGCAAAACAGTTGGAACCCTATATTGGGAGTTGATTCGTGCATGCTTTGTTTCTAACCAATCGAACTAACATCCTACAGTAGCTCTTCATGACAAGTATGAGAGAAGATTACATCAGCGTCCTACAGTAGCTCTCAGTGTATTGGAAACATCTCCCGATGGACAGTGAGATGTGCATGTGGGACGCTTGTGAGGCGCCAATGTAATATCGCATGGGAGATGTTCCAATTCACATTTATGGGGAGATCGGCTTCAGTTAGTGCAAGGCCGGTTCAAACAGTGTTCGATTAGCTTTTACAGCTTGCATCCAGAATATCTTCGTATTTCTATACTTTATTTTATGAAAATATATTCTCAATGTAAGACTATAATGGTTGTTTGAACGGACTTCGCACTGACTGAATCCCATTTCATCTATGGGATGCATTCCCATTTTGTCTATGGTTGTTTGGCATCAATTCACGGTCAGGATGCATTCCCCCTGTACTTTGGGGCTAGAGAATTCTGATCTGGGCTGATTGGTACTTCTCCCTAATTTATATCCAAGTTGGCGATAATGTCTTGTCATCTCTCCAAGGAGCAAAAGAAAGAGTTTGGATCTGCTTATTACAGATTGCTCTTTGCACTAACCTATTATAGCATGTTTCAACTGCACATTAGGAACATCTTGATTCTTAAAAGAAAGGTAGATCGATTAGAGAAGAAGCTTAAGTAACTTGATTGATCTTTACACACTGTGCTTACAAAACTTGCAATCATGCAATGTGAAGGAGAAAGTACGTCAGAGGCCCTAGGTGTTATCCCAGGGGCAAAATCTCCAATGGTCAAATTAGTTAAGTGCATAACAAGGGGGTCAGACGAGGCATGAGGAGAGAGTACTCAAACAAGGTCACCCAGGAGCTAGAGAACTTGAGAACAGAAAAGGCCAAGATAGTTTACCTAAGGAGTGGCGCTACTTATTTATACTTGAACTCACTTGGGATGAGCTAGAATTGATTAGCAGCTGGCGGCCAGGATTGCTTTCTGGCCCTGCCACACGGCGCCATCTGGACTCTGTCACATGCGCCTATATCAAGTTGTAAGGACGGTGTAAGGACGAAATCCGGATTCAATAATTAGAAAAACTTTCCAGAATCAAAAGGTAAGGTTAATCATTTAATGATGAATTTCAGTCTCCCTATATTCTCATAAAACTTAACTGACCTGCCCTATATTTGAAAAACATCATTGACCGATATATTTTATTAATTACATGGGCATTATATAGTGAAGATGAGTAGTCAGGTTCAGACTACTCAATTGCTCTACCCAAACTTGACCCCAATTCATCAGCCCAACATAAAATCTGAAAATTCAAATTCAAATCCAAACTGTACAAAAAGCTGGGTTATGCTCAGGTTGGATTATATTTGCCCAAATTGTAACCAGATGGAAGTTTCTATCAAGGTTGTAAGTTTCATTACGTATTGTAGTTTATATTTATCGATTTTCACACTTATTGGCACATGGCGTGAATTAAGAAAAAAAATGGGATGTCAGATTTTTCACTAATATTTAGTATATCACGAGTATCGACATAGTATGGATGAATCCAACAAAGTATTAAGCAACACTGTGCAAATAGAATACAACAATTAATGGAGAGAAAATATAACTTTTATGAGATAGAAATAAAAATAAAAATAAACTTCTAAATGTATGGTAGAATTGTGTTAAAAGCCTTATTTTTCATTGAAACTTTGTGACAGATCTATATACAACCAGAAAACTTCATACCAAATTGGGATTAACTGGATTAACTAAACGTGATCCCTGTTTCCATGTATTTTATTAATGTCTTGGAACAGTATCATTGATTCCACAGCCTGCTAAACAGCCATCACATTCAACTAATCCTCGTTACAAAAAGAAAAAGAAAAATGATTTAAAATCAATTTTTTGAAACTCAAAGTAGCCTCTATGAATGATAACAAATAAGTATAGAAGATATTCTTAATATATAACTGCAAATGCTCTGAGATGAGTGTGAGATGCGCTCTGTGAGGAGAAAATGCGGACTCTAATCTAATTGGTGTAAAATCCAGATCTAAGTTGCTGCACTTATGGCTGAATTAGAGTATGTTTGACATTAACCAATAATAACACCCCACGTCAGTCATGCACGGGATCAAGAGATTGTAGTGGTCGTGGGGATGGCTGACCGCTTACGTGGGTTGTTATTATTGGTTAAAGAGTTCCTGGCAGCTAATCCGAACTCCGGCGCCCTTGTTTTCATTTTGGAGTTGGAGCTGGCATTTCCAACTTCCGGCATCCCTTGTCTCTTATATGGAGTGGAGCCGTGAAGGCTTTATCTTGCCACATGGCAGCTGATCATTGAGCAGAAACCTGGTAAAAAGGATCACCATGTATCAAATGAATAAGCTGCCAGTTGTGTTCATATTTCCAACTTCCAGCATCCCTCCTTCCTGTATGGAGTGGGCAGAAACCTGGTGCCAGTTGTAAGACATTGTCTACACCCTTTTGCTACAGAATCTGTCCACCAAACTCCTCACCCCCAAATATAAATATAAAAGGACTTGTGTTTACGGAAACACAGAAGCCACAACTCTCTCTCTCTCTCTCTCTCTATATATATATATCTATCTATCCCTCTGGCTCATATTAATTCAAAGTTCAAACCGCACCAAGACACAAGGAAGATATCTCTCATGCAAGTATCTTGGGTGAGGAATTGAAATGGGGTTGATAGTCATCACAATGCTGTGTTTTGTCCTTCTCACTTTGACAACCGCTTGTGCTTCCCTCCAAGCCCAGCTGCACTCACTTCATCCACAAGGTAATTATACCTGCATTCTCTCTCTCTCTCTCTTTCTCTCTCTCTCTAAATTTTCTCTGCAACTTGAAACAGACCAGGATCCCGGCCTTCTTCTTACCAAACTGCCAAGGAAGCTGAGGTTGCTTGAGGAGCCCATGGTAAGAACTGTGAAACCGCCCCATTTCCATTAGGCCATTACCATTCTTCTTCATTGTTTTTAGAACTAGAAACAGCTTTGTTATTACCATTGCTGCACCCACGGCCCACCCCATCTCAAAATTAAACTGTTCTCTAAATTCCCATTGTTCTTCTATTTTGCTGAAATGCAGGTTCAAAGAAGGTATATGGTCGAAGACTTCATAGCAGACTACAAACAAAAGGGAGCTCTGCTTTCAGGTGAACCACCTCATTCATCCACAAAACTTACTCATGTCACTCAATCTCATAAACCCTAACAAACAAAATGCAGTAGGATGCTGCTGCACTTGGCTAGTTCTAAAAATGGCCGGGTGTCAAGGTCAAAGTCAAAGGGGGCATTTACATCGTTGTCAACCAACCTGACTGAAGCCTGATGAATGTTAAGATTATATATGGTCGCAGAGTAATTACAATAGAATTTGGCGTACGAAATTATTGTTCACCCTTATGCTTCTACAGTTGAGCTAATTAATAGTTTATTATTGCATGTATACATGTTGTCCAGGTAAGATAAACACGGTAGGCGTGAGAGTGAGAGATGGAAGACAAGGGACGAGGCAGAAATGGGTGGAAGGAGCAGAAGCGTGGCAATTTTTTACAATGGACTACGCCAGAGTGAGAAGACGGAGGCCCATACACAACAAGGCCGTACCAGTTGGGCTTAGACCATGAATCAAGGGTCTGTGCTGTGGTTCCCAAGAACATACGTATATATATATATATCGATCAAAGTGTAGAAGATGAGATGGGGTTCATTGTTATATATTTATTATATATTAATTGAGAGTGTAGTTAGGGAAATGAGGAGGGTGTCGTCCTGAAACCGTGTTGTGGCCGACAATAGGGACCAAAACCCTATAAACAGTTGTTGCAAGTTGCAACCAAGGTTTGCTTCTTGGGACGATCCTGCTCATGCAATTTTGAGTTTGTATCAGCTCTCTCCTTTTTGTGGTTTCTAAGTTTAATTTTTGAAAGTATCAAAGGGGCTCTCAAAACCCAACACCACCCTTCGTACATGGTCCCTCTCTCTATCTCTGAACAAAAAGTATGTTTCGCAATATAGAGGAGATGGGGGTTGCCGTTCCCCACACTCCACCTCGCCTCGCCATGCTCGTTGCTTGCGTGTTAATCTAAAAACTAGAAGACAAAATGGGACTCATTTTATGAAATCGAGGGGAAAGCTCTGGGAGTCGGAGTGGGAGATGGAAGAGTGCATCTTCTTCCAAAGTTTGACTGACGGACTGGCACTAGTTGTTAATTTGTCTGGTTTAATTGACTCTTTCAATCCTACAACCATAGACGATTCCGACTCCAGTTGAATTTCTCCTACTTTAGTTAGTAGAGGGTCCACCCTAGAGCGCTGGACAAATTTGTATGTTACGCCCGGTGGAAGGTGGCCTAGCCTTGGCCTAACCGGCTACCGCCTAAAGCTGTAAATCACATCCCTCGATGTAGTGATGTGGTCCTCCTACCTTGAATTGGATGAAATTACCAAAGAATAAAGATGCCCCCAAAATACATCCAAAGCCCATGATTTAAGTTTTTAGCCCAAAAAAAAATGTTAGTAGGATCCACAGTCCCACATCAACAATGGGTCCAGTCGGGGGGAATCAATTTTAAGTGCCCGGCTGGCACAGAGGGCTTTCATGTTGTAATTTTTTACTTTGTGAGGTGGGGCTTGTGGCTTGTCTAGAAAGCCTATAAAAAGAAAAAAAAATACATTCAGAGCCAAATTTTGGTTATGGTAACAGCCATTTTATGTGGCAATACACGCTTTTCCTCAGGACTCAGGAGGCTGAACCAAAATTAAACAAGCCTTGTGAGATGAGGTAGACAAGTAATATTTGGCAAAAAATCTAGAAAACCAAAATTGAGGGCTTGTTTGGAAGGGCTGAAGCTTTGATGAACTGCTTTAGCCTTTAGGAAGTCACTGAAAACCACCTCGACCGTTACTCAGCCATCTACATGGCTCCCTATTAAAGCTTCCGAAAAGCGTTCCCTAATACAACTACAGATAGGAACATACAACCTATCTCCCAGCCACTTCACAAGTTTAAATTTCAGTGCTTTTCTATTTGGGAATGGGTTTTATTAGTTGGGTGGTATGGAATAGGCTGAAAATGGTACTCATTTGTCTGAATTCGTTCTGATTAAGAGTAGTCCAAATTCAATCCATTTATAACTGGATCGAATATCATTGATCAAAAAATATATAATTGGATCATTAATGGATCCACCCCTCCTTGGCCAAGTTACCATGAATATATGGCTTTCTCGTGTATTTCTTACAACCTCTATGTTGGGGAGTTTCTTTTACCAAATCATGAAGCCATTACTGGTACCACGATCTTCTAAAAATAGACATACTCTTAAGTGCCCGGAGGGCATACTAAAAACTTCATTCAACAGGACAGCTGATTGGAGGCAACAAAATTATTTCGTCCAAAGGCATCACAACACAAGGAGACTAGCTACAAGCCTACAACAGAACCTGCTGCTTTAAAGATCTAAAACCACAGAATAAGGTAAACAATCCCTTTTTAGGATGATTCACTCCTTTGAACATATGTACTGGAAAAAAAAGGAAAAGAACAGAATCTGCATTAATAAAGCTACCACACCTAGGCACATATAGGACATGTTCTAAGGAAAGTACACTGGCCAGTTGAAATAGTATGAATCCCGAAGATCCTTGTTCATGTACTGGTTCCACTGCATAAAAAGAACACATAAATACCACTCACGAGAACAGAAATAACCATTTATGAGCTCCCAACTCCAATATTTCTTTTTGTTTTTTTGGAGGCATAATTTAAACTAGTTTTAAGAGATGGCACTCTGATACTATTGGCAAAAACGAGTACAAGGTAGACATCCATCAATTAGCAGCCCAAATCAGAGGAGCTGGCAAGGGAAAATGGCATCAACATAGCTTCCCAGCATTATGCTTCCAATTTGCTTTTTCACAGTTCTATGGGTATACATAAGAAATTTAAAAACTAACTGCAAACAGGTACTATGCCCACCTTGATGGCATAGCCTTTAACACTCGGGAATGTAGAACTTTGATCTCACAAAGATATAAGAACAAAGGGATTTCCTCACTCTTCAGATACACAAACAAACATACATGCAGGGAAAAAGAAGAAAGAAACAGATACTAAAATTGATAAGAACCTTCATGCAAAAATATTGTTAAAATAGAGAATGAGGACTATCAGTAACAAGAAATTGAGCTCTCACCTTGAACTTATATGGTTGCCTCTTCTTCAGTGCTTTCTTCCAGTGGTACTGCTCAAATAGCATTGCCCGATCATGCCAGTTGCATATGGAAGTATTTCATTAAGGCAGAAAGGAAAGATGAACAAAGTAGCCTACTTCTAATAAGATATTGGTACGTTGTATACTTGCACCCATATCCATCCAAGAGATTATTGTAAGATTCTAACCTAAGGAATTTGTCATTGAAAATAAAAGCTGATTTGACCTGAAAAAAAATGAAGAGGATGTAGACAAGTCTAGGCCATGTGTTCATAAAAAGAAATTAAGTTCATATGTTGTTTCTCTAACTACACACATGTACATCCAAAAAATTATCTAACCTAGTTTCCTATAATTTGTTTTATCCAGCGAGCTCTTAAGATCCTTACAGATGAAACAAACCAAAGAGAGATTGTATCTAGGCCCAAATGGAATCACCCAACCACTGGGTCCATAATAGACCTCAGCTCCCCACCCCCCGACTCCCAAAGAGTGAAGAAACCTACAATCACTGATGGTCCTGGGTTTCCCAATGAATACCTATCAAAATTCATTTTCATGGAGCCCCAGGAAGGTGGAGCCTAAGTCTGATGAGGCATCCCTCTGGATAGATGTGTGGAAACAACATGAACCAATCCTTTCACAGTTTCATCAAAACTACAGTCATTGGACTCATCTATTGTGCATACCTACCTGTTGGACCACCCAAAGAGTTCTATCAAAACCTCTTCAAGACCTCCTTCTCTTAGTGAAGGCTCTGGCAGCTATTTACTTCCAATCAACCACAGAACTGCTGCTCTCAGACATCTGAATATAATCAATCATAGTTCAAGGAGAGCAGCAAGATGTCTCAGACAGTGTTGGGATCTCCTGCAGAAGTGTCCATCTAAACCCCAATCAAGGCATTAATCCTCTTGACTTCTTCCAGCCATAGCTGATTTATGCCTCAATAAGCTGCTTCTTTAATTGCACCCCTTGCCACAAGTGCTTCAGCAACACTGATCAGGGATTGGCCCCCATGGCTTTACCAAATACAAACTGCCACTTGAAAAATTCTTTGCATCAATGCCTCTGTGATTTATATGATTAAATGGTGCCTATTGACTAAACAAGCATCATCATGTCTTAACCATGTGGGGAGAGAGTCAGATACATGAACCTTACCATAGTTTTAAAGGCACCAAGGCGAGGCTAGGCGACAGAGGCCGCCTTGTCGCCTAGGCCATAGATTTTTTTAAGTAATAAACATATAACCTAGGGTAGTTCCCTAGGTTCCATAGCCATATTTCCTAAATAATAACCCATAATTTTCATAAAAAGAGTATAAAGTTCATGTTAAAGTATAGAAAATCAACATATTCATGAGAAGAAAAAGAAGAAATAAAAGAAAATTCAAAAAATATAGGGGTTGAACCCTATTTTTGTTATAGGAAAAGAAGGAAAGAAAAGGTGGAAGAAAAAACCTTGTCGATTAGACAAAATTTTAAGCTCTTCCTTATTGGTCCAGGTTTTGAAGTCTTTGAGGGTTCAATACAGCATTTAGCAATGTCTGTTGATTAAACCCTAACAAATACAAAAATAATAAAAATAAATTAGTATATAAATACACAAAATGAATATTTTAGTTTAATAATGTTTATTTTATAATTATAATCCCAAAAATTTAAGAATATACAAGTATTTTACAACATAATGTACAAAACTGCTTGGCAATTAGGCGAGGCAAGCCTCCAAGGGTGTCTTGTCGCCTAGGCATCACCTTGGCAACCATGAACCTTTTTTTTATCAATAAATGTATTGGATTGTAAATAAAACAAAACGAAACACAGATTACATACACAAGTTTTCCCTTTCTTTCTGGAAAGTGGCAAGACTGTTTGTTTCAACTTTTTAACCCTTTTTAACGCAAAAACTTTGTGTTTTGCCTCTTTTAATTTCCTTTGGTGTAAATGTCGGGAAAACAAAGTTTCATCCTAAAAGGGGCAAAAATATAGTTGAAATACTTAAGTCGGAAAATATCCCATCCCTTTTATATTGAAAACATACAGAGCCTAAACGAATTTTGTTACTATACGCAAAAAAGATCTCCCCCCCCCCAAATGAAAAAAAAAAAAATTACAAGTTCTTTATGTGGTTAGTGAGGAAAAAAAATCAGGTGCACCCACTATTGCTTATAATTTCAAGAGCCTTCAGGATATACGACCAAAACATCAAAGCTTATGAGATGCAATTGTTCAAAGTTTTTATTCTCAAAGATGCAATTGTTCCATACTTCCCACAGACCACAACAAAGAACAAAGAGCAGCAGATTCCTGTGAGATGGTGTCACAGGAACTAAAGCCCCAAGAAGGCCAATGGGAGATTAGCATGGATAAATCTCTAGGAAGAACCTAGTTAAAGCAGAAAAGGAGATAAAGTGAGATCACACTCAATACAAGAAGGAACGAATGCTAGGGCAGAAAATCAAGGACTCTCTCTCCTCTTATTAAGTATGGCAGTCTACATGAAGAACAGAACTTCTGAGGGGACATAAGCATCTCAAAGCTACCACCACAGACAGGAATCAGCAAAAGATGGGCCAGCCAAGAAGTTACTGAAGGATTAATGAAGAAGTAGTATCGGTTCACATGCATACATTTTTTAAAATGAACGTGAAGTTGTGAACTGAATTTCAAAGTGCAGAAGGGGAGTTTGCGTCCTAATGGCCAAATGCCCCTGACGTCTATGAATTACAATTGCTGCACTATTTCGAAACCACAGTTTAAACTTAACATCATTCACTATCTAATTATACAAGCAGTAATAGTTTCCTGGAACTTTTTATAACATGCACTCATACAGTATGCTCATGACACTTCTAAATGCTTATAACAATCAATGTCTACCAATAACAGTATCAACCTGAACACAATTATTTGAAAGGGAAGGCGAACGATGTAGCACCATTATAATGCGATAAATATGAATTATGAGAAATAACGCTTACTATTAAAAACATGAGATATTAAAATGATATTACAGACTTTAGAATTCCGTATTAAGATTGTTTTAAGCGATAAACAGAGCCTAGAATGAATCAGGAAGCAATGTACATAAAATTTCAAACGCGTATAGAAGAACTTTCAAAAAACCTATAAATTTTTGAAACAGAAGAAGTGAGAACCTCAGAGTTTAACAAAACGGGCCGTGATTATGGCAACATGGAACCCTAGAAAAGAGCACGACCAAACAAATAAACCCTGATAAAGATTTAGATAAACACCAAAAGGAAAGCCCTAACCAGATTATCGCGAAAACAAAAAAAGAGCTTACTTGTATTGATTTGAGAGTTGCCACATGTATGGATGGAACCAGGTAATCGCAGAGAACACGAACGAACCAATCCATATGTTCACGAATCGTTCAGGATCAGTGTGAGGAACGCCCGGGTCACCACGATATGGATTACCAAAATACTTCTCCACCTCTCTCTCTCTCTCTCTGAATTGAAGGTAGGCGCGGACTGCCGGTGTCACGGGGTAGGATTATGCAGCGAAATATATCCGTCCGGGCCTCGGCGGCCGATACAAGCCTTTTGTGAATGTAAAGGCTGCATTAAGGGCCTGAAGATAAAGTTAAAAAGTAAAGTAAATGGCACCATATCATGAACTCATTGTTATTGATCGGGGTTCTCGGGTTTTCGACTTTTTGTCTCGCTTATATGCGAAAAGGGATTTTATTAGGCTGCATTTGTTTGAGGTATAAATTCAAATTTTATACGATGGAAAATATGAATCGGTTTAGTGATGGATAGAAATTGGGACCGGTTGATTTTGAAAATTTACATCGATCATATTTGGTTTTTTATGGTGTAAATTTTCAAATTGGGTCTCGACGGAAAAAGATGAACAAGCAATGGTTACGTTGATAGGCATGAACGAGCAACGGTCATAGATACCCTGCGCCGGAAGCATCGAATACAACTCGGCCTTACCATCGAGTTTGTAAAGGACGACCAGTATGATCCATACCAATCGGATGGAAATCGCCGATGACTGGTTATCCACCCAGCATATCAGACCCTGAATTGATATTTAAACAAGGGAGGCAAACCCGGAGGATGGTACAGATAGGAGAATCAGGGACTTCGGCCATCGGTGTTCCGGGCTTGATACCGGGCCATTGACGGCAGAGACAGTGTTGACCATCCTGGATCTGTTTATAGACGGAAGCAACGTGCATTCCACAACCACACCCCATGTGGTCTTCCCGCATGACAAACACCTTACAGCGTAACATATCTTCTACTCTCCTCTGCAACTCCTGGCCTTGTGTTGATTTGTTTCAAAGATTTCTTAATTTGTTGAGTTTGCTTATTAAAAGCTGATGTGAGAGACGATGCCTTCACTTGGGATCTCTTGCTTTTTGTGACGGGCCAAAAATTAGAGATAGCGTCGTAGAGGTCGAGAAACCGGAACATCTTTTTAGAGTATCTCTTGCTTTTTGCGACGGACTCGACGAACCCGAAGAGATGGATGGCCCCTTCTCTGCAAATTTCCGAGAAACAAGATTCTCTGATTGACTGGGAGGTGGAGAAGACGTCTACATGTGGGTCGGTAACTCGGAGACTCAATGCCCCGGCCAGTGCGCTTGGTAGGGACGGTGACCAACCCATTCAACAGCTAGCGGTTTCTTTCAGGGGCCACCGAGCGCGCCATTAGAGGCCGTACGCCAATCCACCCATTTTAGGGACCAACCCTGGTAGGGACGGTGACCAACCCTTCTCCGCTTCTTCACTTGACCGAGAGGAAGAGTGGATCCTCTGTTGTCTGTGACTCTCGCAGATTTCGGCTGGTCTAAGAAGAGGAGGGGAGATGAAGCGAACAAAGGAGAGAACGGGTCTTATCGGTGTAACCGTTGGACAGAGGAAGGTAAAGTTTTACATCGATAAAATCTTTCCAGTAATTTTCGGTGAATATACTAACAAGAATGGAATATGCTTGTAAAATTGAACCGGATACACCTCCACCAAATGCAGCCTTGGGGAAAATTCCTCATCATTACCCTCTAATTTGGTTCGAAATCTTGAATGGAACTTTAAAATGCAATAATTCTATTAATTCAGGATCTGAACTTTCAAAATGTGGCAATACAGTATTCAAGCTTTTAAAACGTGACAATTCAGTACCTGAATTTTTAAAACGTGACAATCTAATATTTATCATTAATCAACCATTAAGTGACATTTAAAAAGTCAAAAATGCCCTAAGAATGCCATCTAATTCTCTTTATCAACCATCCAAACATTGACAATAAAATGAACAATCCCAAATTTTAGATTCTTCTAAACAATCACCAACTATTTTGAATAGAAGAGGTTAGGATTTGGGATTGTTCAATTTTTTATCAACATTTGGATGGTTGATAAAGAGAATTAGATGGCATTTGAAGGGCATTTTTGACTTTTCAAATGTCACTTAACGACTTATTAACGGAATGATTAACGGTAGGTACTGGATTGTCACATTTTAAAGTTCAGGGACCAAATTGTCACTCGAACCAAAGTACAGGGTACTGATCGGGAATTTTCCCATTTTATTAAGGGTATATTTCTTAAACTACCCTTATGGTTTAGTTAATTGAATAAGTGTATCTTTATTGTTTGAAAATTGACTAATGCTATCCCTATTGTCTCTGACAATTGACTAATCCTTCTTAATCATTAGCATGCGTGAGATATGAAAAAGAAAAGAAATGTCAAATTTTTCTTCCACTATTTCTCAAATTTTCAAAATAAAACCCAATTGATGAAAAAATTCAGGAAGAAAAAGCCAATGGCAACTCTAGACAATGTTTAGGAGATGAAAAAACCTCTCATCCCAGCGACAATGAAATTTTTAACTTGAAGAAAGCTTTGACTGATTCCCTCAACAGCACAAATCGAGGGTTGAGGTCCCCAAATCCACTCCATGGCCTCTCCCATTCAAGCTAATCTGATCTGATTTTCATTAATAATTTAAACAAAAAATTACAACCATAGTTCATTCACGTCTTCTTCTCAACACAATGGCAACAATTACCAGATCTAGTCCATAGTTCACTGACGTCATTCCCTCCCCCTTTTCTCCTTCCTTGCTCCGCTCCATCATCTCCACCTCTATTCATAGCAACCATCAGCATTTTTGTATTTAGGTTGACTATGCTCAGATTGGGTATAACAAGAATGCAAATTTTCTATGAACATGTTAAAAGATTGACTCTGCTCAGATTGGGTCTAACTGCTTATTTTTTCTTTTTCTGAATTAAAGAGAAGCAAAGCGAAGGTGGGAATTGAATTCTAGGGAGAGGGAGGGGAGGAGTCTGAGGAGGCCCGCATTTATTGACGCTCCCCTGTTTTCTTTTTCTTTTGATTAGGGTCAGCTTCTATGTCATCCTTTTTTCTTTCTCTCTTTAATGGTCTTCTTTTCCATCGTTCGAAAATAGGGGAGACAAAGAAAAACTAATATTTCAAAAAAAAAGGGTCCTTGAATGGACGATGGTTAGCTCCTTCGATCCCCATTTCCATTTCCAGGTACCCCACCACACAGTGAGCAAATCTAGGAGAGACCAAGTAACCCAGAAAGTAGGCATTGAAGAAGACTCCTTGTAAGGTGACAACCAGATTTCGCTCATACCACTTGTACAGTGATGACCAGATTTCTGTCCGTTCTTTGCTTCTTTCAACATAGCCTTAATCCAACCCCCACTGTGCTCGAATCGCCTCAAGGACTTGCAGGGCAAGAGCATCCCTCCGACCATTCCTGGCACGGCGGAAACCGTCTCCAACATCTTTGTCTGGATTTTAGTTACTCATAAATTCCACCCTGGAACTTGATAATCAAGGCATGGCCAGAAGGAGTTGAGACCTTGACTGGAACTCATCTCACAGTAACCCATGGAAGGATAATTAGAAGCGTGATGGCTAATGTGCACCAGAATTCTTGCTTGTTTACCAGTTTAGAGCCGTGAGGATGACGAAGGTCCAGAGTAAAACAAACGTTTGTCCAACCTGCAAAGCAATGGATTCTTTCAAAGACATTTTGGTGGAGATGGCAGACAAGGGGGAAGATAGTCGAGCATGAAAGGCAGAGAAGCGCAAGGATGCTCGCTACAGCACTTGAAGTTGCAGAGGTCAAAGGGTTTTTTAGGAATGGAGGTGGGAAGGGTATTTTCGGGATTTTTGATAAATATATTAATCACATGAAATGAAAAGTTAACAGATGATAACGGTAAGGGTTAAGCTAGTCAGTTGTCAAAAATATTAGGGATAGCATTAGTCAATTTTCAAACAGTAAAATAAACTTAATCAATTAGCTAAACCATAACGTCGAGGCACAAGATAGCTCAATCAACTTAAAGATGGGAGTAAGAGGTGAAAGGATGTGGTTATTACCAACCCACATGCAAAGCATGAGAAAATAAACCATATAGCCATTAAGCAGTGTCGCCCCACAAGGGATGTGTAGTTTTGAGAGTACCAATGGTAGCCATCTAAGTAAGTCGACTCAAAAAGAACATTTTTTGAGACTCCACTAAAAGATAATATTAGTTTTCCCAAAAATCATATTAGTATAAATTACGACAATACCATTCAATATAGCACACCAAGCATAAGACTAAGCCTTCTTTACCACTATAACAATTGAGCATAGAGAGCATGCAAAGTAGGGCACAAACGGCAAGCAAATCAAGTGTGTAGTCTACAATACATGACAAAATCCCAATAGTTCCAACTTCCAAGCAAATGACCTAGGGTGCAATCAAGCCAAGCCAAACTTTGGCTTGTCTTGGCTCAACTTGACTAAAATACTACTAGATTCAAGTTCGATCTCGAGTTTGATTCGAACCATATTTGTTAGATCGAGCTTAACTCAATTAAATATTTGATGAGCTTGAATTCACTTGAAAATGAATACATTTTTATATTATATATGATTTATTTGTTATAATATATAGCATATTCTTATATTATATATACAATATAAAAATATTTTTATAATATAATTTTATATTCTATAATATATGTACAATATACATATGTATGTATATATGTGTTAATCGAAGTCAAACTCGCTTTCAAAAGGAACTTTTTATTGATCAAGCTTAAGCTCAAATAACTAATCGAACTTACCTTTGAGGTCCAAACTATTGAATTAGAGTTTGATACAATTGCAACATTGAAGTGATCATGATGAATTTATGTACTTGGACTCAGCAACTGTTCACATAATCACATGGATCGTGCTGCTCAATATGAATCATGTGACCCCTTAAATCATTTTTTGTCACTTTAACCCTTGTCCATTTGGATGTGCCTCAGTTCTTTTAGCCCCTTTAATCGAAGAAATAGATAGCTTCTAACCCCTTAACCGATCTATTTTGGTCTACTTTCTTTCATTTTACCATTTGTTGGAGCAATTTTCAAGTTCCTTTGAATGTGGAACAAGGTTCAAAATTTCCATATGTTCATATCAAAAAAGAAATGCAAGGTTCAACGTATCAATACACCCCTTCCAACATATCAAAGTGTATCGTTAGTTTGAACCTTGTGTTGTAGTATTTCCATTCATTCATCCTAACATTAACATTTCTAGGACCCCTTGAAATGATTCATTGGGATTTCTATCTTTTTTCTCTTTCTCTACCTTTTCTACATTCTCTTCCTCTCTCTTTCTGTCTTGTGTTAATTTGTTCCAACCCTACTGCATCACCGTACCAAGTCTTTTTTTAGATTAATCTGATCTGGGTTTTTTATTTAATTTAGGAATAAAGGTTTAATTCATGATTGATGACTTGTTTCATTTGAAAGAATGGGACTTGTATCATTTGAAGTCTTTATGGTGAGCTTTATTTGAATTAGGAAACTGAATTAAAAAGGTTAGTATGGATCCCACATCATTTGAAGTGGGTAGTTAATTTCTTTTTATAGGTAATCGCGCGCCTGAAGTTAGTACATTTTATGAGAGTGGAGTTAACTAATCCCGTTTTTTTCTAAAAGTTGATAGAGACACTCTATGGATACTCTTATTTGAGAAGACAAGTAGCCACTTGTCTCAGGTAGAAAACCTTTAACCCAAAGGCTTTTCTATAGACTAGAGAAGAGCCCTTAGGCTAGAGGGCTTCTATTCCAAACAAACGGTTACCTATCTCCTCAAGAAAGAGCATGGTTTTCAAAATCAGACCGGACCGGATGGTTGGACCGAAAAACCGGTAATCGGTCAGCCCCCGAGTTTGGTTATACTAGAAATCGGAAATTCTTTAAAAAAGCGTTGAAAAAATTAGAAAACCGCTGACCTGGGTGATCGGACCGCTAAATCGTTTGACCCGGGTAGTGGTTCACGGGTTATCCTTTTTATTTTTGCTATTTTAAATAAAATAAAACATAAAAAATAAAATGGCCTTTATATCCCCATCCCAAATCGAATGTTTAGGGTTAGAACCCCATTTTCGTTCTAACCCAGTAACCCTTCCATCCTCTCAGCCCTCACACCCAACCAGCCACCTAAGGCGGCCAGCACCTACGGCATCCGATGGCAACACACAGCCTTCAATGGAGATTAACGGCGACCAGCAACGGCGGTCAGCTTCATTTACAGCAGCCAACATTTATTTTATAGCACTCTCCAGCAATAACAATTGCGGTATACAAGTTTGCAGCGGCGGTCTAGCGAGTTTGCAGCAGAGAGTTTATAATGGCAGTAACACCACCATTGGCGATTCTGCAGTTGCAGCAACACTTGCAGCAGCAATCACTTGCGACCAAGCCTAAGCCCACTGGCGGCGAGCCCACCATCATACCACCATTACCAGTAGTGAAACCTTGAAGGACCTGAAGGTATAAATTTTTTTTCTAAATTTTTTGTGAGTTTAATTGATTCTTTGAATTTTTTTGCTTAATTCTTTGTTTAATACTTTAATTAATCTTGCTTAACTATTTTTTCTGAATTCATTGCTTAATTAATTACAAAGATTCACAATTTCACCTACTCATATTGGCTTAATTAATTTTCTTTTTCAATTCCTTGCCTATTTTTTCTGTATTTTTTCTCTATTTATTTGCAATCTTCTATTTTATTTTTCTGTTTTTCAGTATTTTCTATTTTTATGTACCTTGTTCCTAGATAGTTTTATTTTTCTGTATTTTTTGAATTTTTTATGTTTTTTCTGTATTTTTTAGAAATTTTCTGTATTTTATTTTTATATTTTCTATGTGTTCTATACTGTATTATTTTTTATTTATATAGTTTTTAATTTCTGCATTTTCTGTTTTTTATTTAATTTTATGCTACTTTTTTATTATTTATAAACATATTTTTATTTTTAATTTATTTATGACATCACCGATCGAACCGTTCAACCTAGATGGTCGAACCGCTTAACCGGAAACCGGTCCCCTGACCAGTTCGTTTTTGAAAACGATGAGAAAGAGTATCCCGAGAGGTTATTTTTACTCTCAAGAAAAAAACAAAGAAACAAAAGTGAAAGTAGTAATCCACTCTCAAAAAAAAGTACTCATTTTAGACACATAGCTACCTATCGAAACAAACAACTACCCACTTCAAATGATGTGGGACCTATACTAACCTTTCTAATTCAGTTCCTAATGCAAATAAGACTCACCTATAATGACTTTCAATAATGTAAGTCTCATTCCTTGAAATGAAATAAGTCATCAATTACAAATTAAACATGATTTAATTTCCTAAATTAAATAAGAAACCCGAATCAGATTGATCTCCAAAAAAAATTAATAGCCCTGTAGGGTGGTCATTCCATAGTATATAAACATAAGAAAGAAAAATCATGGAAAAACAAGGTCCAAAGATTAATTTTATGTGTTTTTTTGTTGCACAAAAAAAAAAAAAAAAAAAAAAAAAACTGGTAGGAGCAAGATCACCTGCCCATTTGGTGTAGTTTATCAAATAGAAATTCCTCCCTTCTCTTAAATGCTGAATTGCAGTGTACATCTTTCGCCGGGGTCCAACAGCATTTATTCCCATCTCTTTGAGGTCTTCAAATGTAAGTAATGGCAGCACTTCCTCATCTACCTCATGCATTTCAAATATATCAGCATACCTACCAAACCCCAACTCCTCCAACCAGCTTCTTACACTATCTACAATAGTAACACCGGTTCCTATCTTGTCATACACTCGGCCTGCTTTGGGAATCATACAGGGTCCATCACTAGAATAGAATGTAGCATCATCTCTACAAGTAACAAGCATCATTTGTCCAAAACCCATCGGAATCACCTCTTACCTGCACGTCCCAAATAGGTTCTAAGCACTCACTTCCATGGGCTTCTTTGCTCGTATTTGAGGTATCACGGTCCGATGAATCCTTGAACCCCTCAACAGAATAGACGTCGTAGCTTGGATTTGATGTGGAATCAACAAAATCGACATCCCTATACTCTTTCTCATGGTCATTATTAGTTTCAGGACAAACCTTGGAACTCCAAGCGCTGCTAACAACACCATTGTTACCTCTCGTGCTCCGTCCCCTCCTCTTCATGAGATGGCCCTTCCGCGTTACAGTTCCGAAACCAAACCTTGGTTTACTTGCATTAGTTTCGTCCGAGGTTGCAAATTCAGAAACCAATTTCGAAAAATTAGGGTTCCTATTCTCTCTATTGTGCTGCGTATCAGACGAAGCCCTCGGAGATACACAATGACCTTGGCAAGGAGAACCCACAAATGGGATGATCAAATTTGAAATATTGGTTTGAACTTTGAACCTGGTTAAAACGAGTTTAAATCAGCCCCCCACAACGTCCCACAGCACATTCCTGCCGTGTATTGAAAACATCTTCCGATAATAATTATCATTTCTAGTATTATCATTGGAAGATATTCCCAGTACACAGCGGGAATGTGCTGTGGGACATTGTGGGGGGGCTGATTTGATGTCGGTTGAAACTGGTCTAAAAAGGTGGAGATGGGCTCTGGGCTCATGGACAGACCACAATTGTAATAATACTGGGAGCTCGCTTGTTTTCAGAAACCATTGACCTGTCAAGGTGGTCGATTTGGACAAGATAATAAAAATCGATAATAATATAATATAGGTGGAATGTCTGCAAATTTGAGTATAGTGATGCATTGGACTGATAAAATCATAAAATGATTGTCGAGTTGCAGGCAATTTATTGGATAATCCCCACATACAAGTACGAAGTACCAATTCAAAAATGCTTGCACAAGACAACAATAAACAAATATGAAATATTAGCATTTTGTTACGACCCATTGATCCCACATCGGTAGTATGGGATGCTGTTATGGGGTTTATATGTGTGAGTTCCCTCCCTCTAACAGCTTGCTTTTAGAGGTGAATTCTCTCAAGACACAACAAATGGTATCATAGCCTAAACTATGCTTCCCAGTTACAATCGTGCAGCACAGGTAGTGACGTCGGTATTGTAGTGTTCGGCCGGGATTTAATGGACTAGTGCAAGGTGAGTGCCGGTACTGCAGAGCGTGGTGGAATGTTATGACCCATTGGTCCCACATCAGTAGTATGGGATGCTGTTCCACAACACATTTTCTGTTCAAACTTGAAAAGAACAGGTACGAGTGGAAACTGGAAACCAAAAAAGAAAGCATGATGCAAATTGATCTGAAACAGATGCCAGAATAACAAAACTAGAGTATTGTACATTTGTAACTCGAATAATTACTAATTACATACAATGAACAAGCCATCAGTCCCGTAAGGGGAAACCACTACCACTTGGTTGAGCTCGGGACTCAAAGGAGAGTCTTACGGCGGAGTAGATGAGAGAAGGCTCAGCCATGGCACCATTTCCATAGTCCCCACAAGCCAATCTTTTTGCGATTGGGGGGATCAGAGAAACACCGAGGCCGCTGACGGAATCAAGATGCTGTTGGGTGAAAGGGTTATTCCACATAAGAGTGTTCATGGCAGGTGCAACAAACAGAGGTTTACCAAAGTCCCATGCTCGCACTATGCATGTTAACAGGTTATCACATAAACCCCCGGCAATCTAGCAAAGAGCAGAGAAAAGAGAACAGTGAAATAGGATCCTAAGACAATAACATATACAACAATAACAAGTGTCCCCTAAACGGCAAGTTGTATGGAGCAAGAATATCAATAATCCTTAAAAACATTTAGCCGTTAAAAATAATTCTTGTGCAAAATGGAGTTGATAACTTGATATATGGGTAATTTATCAAACATTTTAGGACCTTTTCGTTTCTACTTCTCCCCACTTACCCAGATCAACTAGGTTTTGGTGCACACCAGCAAACACGCTTCCATAAGCTACACAACTCATACATCAGACATCAGCATCAAAAAATGGCAACATGTTAAACAACTCATCCATCAGACATGTTGAATGACAAGCAGCTCAGCGATTCTGCATCAAGCTCAGTGAGCACTGGCTTCAGCATCAACTGTTGCTAGCCCAAACCAATAATTTGAAGGAAGTTGGGTAAGTTCAAGAGCATTTCTCTTTGCAAATCACCCAGCATAATTACAGAAAATATCTAAGCGGTCACATGAAACAAGTCTTGACCACTTCAATGAGGTGAGCTGGCTTTGGGATGATTTACATGTAGTTACCAATACTCTGTTCTCCAGGAATAATGACTTGGGTGAATCCGTCACAGAATGATAATACATTCAGCCAAAGGCCTAGCAATGCATGCAATTAACTGATTAAGACAGCATACAAAAGTTAACAAGTGCCTAAATCTGGCCTAATACATGAAGGTAAATGGTATGGAGATATTGTGAAGTTGAGATGGAGTTGAATCAACATTCTGTAGTTGTTATCAAGGACGTCAGGAAGATTGAAGACGACAGATTAGCACTGTAAGATGCTTACTTAGTGCGGAGATTTCTTGACTCAGACCCGGAGGAGAAGGATGTGTCAATACTTGGGCAGGGATTGAATGGAAAGAAAGACAAGGGTTTGCAGAGGGCAAGGAAACTTTATGTGGATTTGTTTCTTTTCATGTTCACAAAAAAAGAAGAGGCTGAAGGAGTTCTGGAAGAAGAAGAGAAATGAAGACTCAGATACCCAGAGTTGAGACTAGGTAGATGGTATTCAGTGGTTGAGCATGAGAAGAACATGGAAGGAAAAGGCTTCGTATGGATTAGCATCTACGCGATTCCGCTTCATGCATGGTGTGTGCAGACCTTCAATGCAATTGGAGATGCTTGCGGCAAATTCAAGAAGTTTGATAGCCATAATAGACGATGAGTTGATCTCCATTTTGCACATATTTTGTTTGAAACAGAAAATTTGGAGCTGAGCCCCTTGAGACTAGACTTATTTTTTGCTGGAGAAGTTTTCGAGATCAGGCTGGCAATAGAAGGGGAGGACCCAATTTTCGGTGTTAGAACAACGACCTTAGAGGAGTTGCAGGTTGCCAGAAGTGGGAGATGGGGGATGAAGATGGCGAAAGGACATGGAAAAGGAAAGGAAGAGGAAGACAAAACGTTAGAAGGAGGGAGGAGAGCGAAGACAAAACGTCAAAAACGAAGGGTGAAGAGGTAATTTAGAGGAAGGTATAAGGGCAATTGTTAGGGACAAGTGCTTCAACTTAAAGAAAGATAAGTGGGCCTATGATAATAAATGGTGTTGGATCAAGCAAGTGATGGACATGTGAGAAAGTAGTTGTGGCCCACATAAATAAGGATGAAAAGCAAGATTTTACTAGACAAGTTAAAATGATTAGGCCAAATGGCTTCAATGGGAAGCAAGCGGGTACCCAAGAAAACTTTTTTTGAGCCAGGGGTTGGATGGAGAAGAAGATAAGGCCAGAAAAGTAAGGCTTCAAAAGAAAAGGAATACATTTGGTGTATTACAAGATACATCCACAACAGCAAAGGCAAAAAAAGAGAAGGGGAAGAAGAAGAAGACCTCGAAGAAGGGGAGCAGGAAAGTTCAAGATCCAGCAAGGAACACTTCATGGGGAAACAACAGTGATATAGGTCAAGCACATTTCCTTGGAGATAATTGAGGAGTCATCTTCAGGGAGCAAGGTGAGTACAACAACCCAAGAATCGGATAGAGATGAAGACAGATCAGGTACTCTAGAAGTGGTGTAAACACACTTTTACACCGTGGAGTTCTGCATCGATTAGTTTATTAGAGTGTAAATGGGAATTGGATTGTTGGGCCCATTTACACTCCACACTTGGAAGCATTAACGTAAAGTGGAACAGGTAGGGAATGAAGGCTAAATGAGGCCTTTTGCTTGGCAGATACCAGTAGGGAATGACCCAGATAGCTTTTCTGTGAAGCATCGAAGGATACCAGATTCCCAAGACCAAGCCCGAGTTTCTCAGGAACCCCACCTGTCAAATTGTTCTGAGAGAGGTCTAAAACCTCCAACCCTTGTAAGCGCAAAAAAGAATCAGGCACCCCCCCCCACCCTCCCGAATAAAAACCAGACCTCTGCTGAAATCAAGCACTCTCAGTGAACTTAACTGAGAAATATGATCTGGGAGTATTCCCCAAATGAGATTGTTGCTAAGATTCAATGTTTGCAACACACTGCACTGAGAGAGATGAAGATGGATGGGCTGGTGACGAGATTGTTTGTATGACTGAGATAGGAGAGGTTGGGTAGTTGGCACTGGCAGATTGAAGGAGAGATTTCACTAGAAAGATTGAGACTTAGAATGTTGAGAGAAGAAACCGACAGAAAAACCGTAGCACTAGCAATGCAGGCAACACCAGTCCAGTTGCAATGGTGGGTAGCAGAGGTGTTAGAACTTAGACCAGGTAGAGAGAAGTATCTGTGCTTCATCTACAGCAAAGCTAAAGATCAAAACTGAGAAAAAGAAGGGAATGATGAACAATGGATGAGTGAAGTTAGCAGCCATGGAGAAATAGAGAATGAAAGAATGATCTTTGAATCTTTCAAGATTGATTGCACAAATGCTCATACCTCGGTTGCTGCCAGCAGGAAGATGCACCTTGACCATTGCAGCATCTCCTGTGGGAAGCAGAGCACTGGTTTTTACCTCCATGATCGGGAGGAGAGGAAGAGTTTACTTTGGCAGGGAGGAGGGGAAAGTTTTACATCGTTTTTACCAGCGGTAAGTTCCCCTCAATTCTCAGTGTAAAACTCGCGCTGTGTGTACTTTTACATCATATATCAGAGGTTATTAACACAATAATACCTCATCCAAATATTTACAAAACCCAACCAGAGTGTAATATAACATCGGTCCGGTATTTGCACCGCAAACAAACACAGCCTAAGGACAGAGGGGAGTGAGTGAGAAAGAAAAGGGGAATGTGGAGGCTTTTGAGAAACGAGGAAAGGCAAAACAGGAAGAGGGGGAAGGGGTCTTCGGGGGCAGAGGAAGGGGAGTTTAAGTTGATATCAGAGAGTGATAAAAGGGAAGAAAGTGAAAGGGTGCAGATATCTAGCAGAAATAATTTTTAAGCGGGACAGGTGAGTCAACTAAGGGTGGAGTTGGGAAAAGCAAGGGCTTCAGATAAGGACAGAACTTTGGCTGACGGGGTAAGAACTATTCAGGCAAGGGAAGGGGATGCTAATTCAAAGACAGCAGAGGAACCAAGTACAAAGGAGAAAATTCTGATTTCTGACTGAATCGGAGAAAGGGATTTTGGGATTTGTAGGAAAAAATGTTGAAGATCAAAGAGAAAGTGGGTCAGGACTCAGGAGGTGGTGGGTGAAGATTCAACAGTGGTGGAGGAAGAGCAAGTAAAAAAGAAAAAGTGGGAGGAAGATTCACAGGGTGGTAGCAAGCAATTTCACATAAGAAAAAAGAGAAATTATAGAACCAAGCCTTTGACAGAGTTTGAAATTGTAGATAAAGAGGGGTTAGAAGAAAATGTGCAAAGGGAAGAAGTGGTTTTAGATGAGATGCATGAGATACAAGGAAGTTTAGGTACAGATATGGTGGTTAATAGGGAGGTGGAAATGAGTAAATTTTGGGTTTGTTTTTTGTAGGGAGTGAAGAATTTGCTAGAAGGGCGTTTAGAGAATTGAAAGGTGAGGAGTTTCAAGAAAGAATAAAATCAATTGGAGTGATTAGGGCTGTTATAGAAAAATGCAGTGAAAAGACTGATTTTAAATTTTTCGAGAAGAACGCAGTTTTGGAGTTGGAAATAATCAATGCCAGCACTAAAGAGGTGGGCTCAAAGAGATTTCCTAATGCAGTAAGACGCTTCAGAAGGAACAAAAAGCACCAACCTAAAATTTCCAAAGCTTTTGCTAGGTTGAAGGGAGGTTTTTTGGCATTTGACCTATTAAAAAGGTGAAGAAATCCAGTAGTGTTGAAGAAAAGCAGGGATGGTCGCACACTTATCCTTGATGAAGCGGAATAGCTACGTCTAGCCGTGAGATTTTGATAATTTGGGAAGATGGTGTTAAGTTATTCATTTTTCCTTGGTGCCGGGATGTTAAGGGCGTTGTTGTAAGGAGGAGCTGGTTTGTTTTCTTTGTGTTTGGTGTTTTCTCTCTCGGTTGACTTCTTGTTGCTTTTCTTGTACTTTCTTTTTCTTTTAATAAATTTTATTTTTACTACCAAAAAAATAATAATTACATGTTTATGGTATCTACAATGGTAGAAGTTGTTGGGTATCAAAGAAATTATTCAATTTATTGTTTTCTGGACAACTTTTTTAGGATGATTGTAGCATAATAAGGTCATAAATGTTGATTTTAGTTCAAAAGCAGTCCTAAGAAAAAATCAGAAATTACTAGTATTTTCTTTTATCCTTCTTTTTTGCTATTGATAGTTGAAGACAAATTTAAGAATCCGAGAATAGATATTTAAATTATTTGGAAAGCATATTACCTTGGCAAGGGTATTTGCTGACAAGGGAGCAATAACCATGACATCAGCCCATCTACGAAGCTCAATGTGAAGAACATTGTCCCCAATTTTCTTCCAACTGGACCATTCATCCTCATCGGTGTAAAGCACAACATCCTTGGGAAGAGATGTCCTGTCGATAAAGTGTAAGGAGGACTTGGTAGCAACTGCTCTAACTTCTGCCCATTCAGAAAAACAGTGACAGAGGCTTCCAAATTTGATAGCAGCTACACTTCCACTCGCAGCTAGCAAAATATGTGGTTTTGGAGGCAATATATTATTTTGTATAAGTTCCCTCTCTGTGCTAACAGGCTCCACATACGCCATAACCTATTCAGCAGGTGCCTGCAACACTCATAATGAGTTTGATAAGAACAAGTGTGATCCTGACACCCTATTGCAAATAGGAATTTCTATTGACTATCAGTGGAAATGCAAAAAGTAATGAAACAATCAAGTTATTCAGTTACGATATCTGCTCACACATGTTGGGGGTTTATACCAGTACAAAGGAATTGTGGGTGTTTGAATATTCCAATTCAACAGGTTCAAAGGTCAACTCACATGCAAACACCATCATTGAATTTTTTGGTCCCCCAACCAAATAATAATAATTATTATTATTATAATTATAATAAATTACAACAACAACAACAAAGACTTTTCAACCATGTACAATTAAAAATAAGTGATATTGTAGCACCTCATTTTCAAATGACATGGCAAGACCATTGCAATTGCATCTGAGAAGCTCTATAAAATGTTTAGAACAGTATGTTCCTTTGGCAATATAAGCACAATACTTGGCAATACACCTTAATAACCATGTTGAGTAATCAAGGAATCAGCAACCCAATTGAATCTATATTTGGAACATTTTATGCAAATCTCTAAGTTGCATGTGAGAGGGAGGGTTCAGATGGTAAACTTTTTTATTGCTTCTTAATCCACATTTATTTGCAATTACTCGTGTATTGATAAGGGAATGCATGTTTACGTGCATGTCTGCAAAAGATAGCACTTTCTCAGCAATCTTAAGCCATCCTCTTACTACATCACCTCCCACAGCCCCACCCCCCAATGCCTCTTTGACTGCGCACCACTAGAGGGCATTTGTTTCTTCATTTCTCTTTCTTCTTTTTTTTTTTTTTTGAAGAATCAAAAGAAAATTTATTAAAGAAAAAGATTACAGAAGTGATAAGACATCACCTAAAGCAAGAAGCATCCACAGGAAACCCAAACAGGCCTAAGAAAACTACCCTCTCAAGCAGAATAAAGCCCAGACAGACTCCATAAAATAAACCCTGAACAAGACCCCATTAAATCGAGAACCATTGACAAACTCAAAACAAAAGCAAAACCTAACTAGTTGCCAACATCAATCTTCATCTGTAAACTCATCCTCTTGATCTGTGAATTCCTCATCCCAGACCTTGCTCCCTTTCAAATGCTCTTTGATCTTTAATTTCTCTTCCTCTTTTTTTCTTTCAAATTCTTCAAAGGCCCTCCTGGCAAATTCCTCACCACCCCAAAAAAAAAAAAACCCAAGCTTTTCCCAACTGTGACCTCCCTATCAACTAATTCTTTGATAATCATTTTATCTGTAGCTTTATCAGCACTTTCATTCTCCTGTAACAGCTGCATTGCACCAGGTTCTGAATCGGCATCAGAAACCTTATTGACATGTTGTTCCTTCAACAAAAGGGGGTTCAGTGGTTGATCTTATTTCCCCCCTATTATCAGTACCAGATATCCCATTAACCTTCATTCTTTTCCTTCTGTACACCCATCTATAATTTTTAGTAGGTCCTGCCCCTGCCAAGCTGAGTTTAAGTCTAGAAAAAACTTTTGACACATGGACTATATTGTGAGTTCTCAAATTACGTGATTTCTTGTTAATTCTCCCACCATTCTGATCTTCCTTCTCTCTCATTCTGCTCCTTCGACCCAAATCTACACCTAGCCCTCCAATCTCAACTTCCTGATAAAATAAGCCATCTTTGTCCTGATTTTCAGCCTGTCCACTGGAAGAATCTTCAACAGCTATATCTTCCTTTCCTCCAACCTTACCTCCATCATTGCCTTCAGCATATGACTCAGCATCTATACTGGTAATCTCTTTCCTAGTTGTTACCTCCCCTCTTTCCAAGTTCTCCAATTCAACGGGAGCTGTCTCTTCCGCACATGAAGAAACTAGACATTCCAAGTCATACCTATCCTGTGGAGACGTCAAACACAAGATCTCAGGGTCATTGGGAACACAATTCTCATCAGAGTCCCTCCTAACCTCAGAATAGCATCCAGCATTACCAAACATTGACGAGAGAGAACGGTCGATGAGAGTCTCTCCTGGACCAGAGACAAAACTTTTCTTACCACATTTGTCAAACCTAGCAATCACCCAGACCCACCTCTCCTCTCTTTTTCTAATCCCAGACAAGCTAATTCTTCTCGTCCTTCTCTTTCTTTTTTTTTGATGAATAATAGTAGTAATTCAAAGTTGATTTAGAGTTGTGAATTCATACGACATCCAAGGGAGAGACTCGAGCTGCAGCCCCTCCTTGAATCTTACAAGTAAAGTAGGAAAGAAATACAGGAATCATAGTTGAGCCCAAAACAATTCTTCCCTATTTACCCCTTGCTTGGCTAACACATCGGACAAGGTATTTGCTGATCTCCCCACCCACTGTAAAGAGACCAACATATTCCTTGTCAACCAACTGAGTTTCTTCATTTCATTCTTATAGTGCCATATAGCAACTTCAGGATTTTTCAACCAGCCCACCACCAATTTGGAATCCCCTTCAATTATTAGATGTTGTGCCCCCAGCTGGTTTGCAAATTGAACCCCTTGTACAACAGCTAATACTTAATAGCTTTGCCCTGATAGAGTCTCCAACTCCTAAAGGACCATAGTAGAGCAATAGAATCTCTCCCTTTTCATTTCTCAAGACACCCCCCATTCCGGATAATCCTGGATTACCCATGCTAATTCCATCAAAGTTCAGCTTCAATGAGCCTTCAGATGGAGGAGACCAGCTTATAATTGATTTACCCTTTAAGGGTGAACACCTCGTTACTGCTGACCAATTTCTCCAAAGGTCATTAAAAGAGAATTGATGAAAGATTTCCAAAGTCTTCAGCCAAAGTATTGCCCTATGCAACACACAGTCTTTCAATTCCTGGTTATTCCTTTCCTTTTTTTGAAAGATTCTAGCATTCCTTTCTCCCCAAAGAGTCCAAATCAGGGCAGCACGAGCACATCTCCACATAAGCCTCCCTCTTTTTGTAGGCCAAGAGAAAGTAGAATGGTTAAAGATCATGCGAACTTCTACTGGTAGACTCCAACTACTCCCAAATAACGAGAGTAGCCAAGCCCAAAGGTCTACAGAAAAAGGACAAGATATTAGTAGATGGTAACAATCCTCCCCGTGAGCTCTACAGAGGATACACCAATTGGGAGAAATACAAAGGAAAGGTCTTCACTTTTGCAGGTTATCTAGAGTGTTTACTTTCCCATAGAATACTTCCCAACAAAACACCATAATCTTTGGGGGAATGGCCTACACCAAATTTCCTTTGACGGAAAGAGTTGTTGAGTAGAATGCTGAGAGATGGACTTGAAGTAAGAAGCACAAGTAAAGGTTCCTTTGGGTCTAAGAATCTACACCCTTTTATCTAGCTTGGAGGGGTCCAAGCAAACCTGATTAAGGCAACATAGCAAGTCAGAGAGAGATTCAATTTCATCTTCCCTTAGCCCACTCCGAAACCCAAAATCCCAATTAGGAGACAAGGGTGTTCCCAATGGTGAGACAAATTTTGAGGCCACCTCTTTTTATACAATGAAACAGAAAATAACACAAGGAAAAGGTCCTTCAAAGGGGTGTCTCCTACCCAGATATCCTTCCAAGGTGTTGCTAGGTTAGCATGCCTTGATACACCAGCATCCCATCCATTCTTTGAACTCCCATGAATGCTTCCCACCACCTCATGCCACAGCCTTTCACTTTCCAATGGCCATCGCCACAACCATTTCCCTAACAGAGCTTGATTTTTTTCAATCACCCTCCCAAGTCTCAAACCCCCCTCTTCTTTACTTCTGCAAACAATTTCCCAATTAACCAAATGATCCTTTTTTCTTGTCCCGACTCCCACAGGAAGTCTCTCATCAACTTCTACAGCATCCTAGCTTCCCTAGCTAGTGTCCTAAAGACAGACAAAAAGTAAGTAGGTAAGTTGACCAAAGTAGCTCTTATTAAGGTAATTCTCCCTCCTAAAGAAATATAGATCTTCTTCCACGAGGCTAATCTCTTCTCAAACTTTTCTAGCACTGGGTCCAGTGAATTAAAAGGCGTGCCTAGCGCTCAGGCGAAGCGCATTTTGGGGTATGCGCCTCGCCTAGGTCCTAGGCACACACCTTTCAAAAGGCGCACGCCTGGTGCGCCTGATGCACCTTGCGCCTCAGCCCAGGCACACGCCTTTTTAAAATTTTGCGCTTTTTTCCTTTTTTTTTAGTCTAACGGCTAGACCGGGGGCGGGCTCTGCCCCCGAACCCCCGACCACACCCCCGAGGCAAGCCCAAACAAGTCTATGTTAGGGTTTGAAATTCTTATTTCTCACATGAAAAATAATGACTTTATAACTTTACTTGCCTTTTAAGAAGATATTTTATTGGAATAAATGAATGAATGAACAGCATTAGCAAATAGGGGGTTCAAACCCTAACATAGACTTGTTCGGACTTGCCTCAAGGGGCATGGTACAAAGGTGACTCATAGAATCAAGAATGCAATATGTTTTACATCACATTAGCTACTTGAAGCAATGCAATTAAGGAAAAAAAGAGATTGTGGGTTTTACATGCTTGAAAATGCTTTATATGTTTGCTTTTATATTTAAATTTTCATTTGAATACACTTTAAATGTTATGTTTATGTATTTTAATTTTAGACAATTCGTTTTTTAGAACATTTATTTTAAATTTTATGTTTAATATTTTTTGAATATTTTGCATTTTTTTTAAATTTTTTGGCTTTTTTTGAATTTTCTGACTTGTTTTTTATTTTTTAGCTTTTTTTGTAGTTTTGAACCTTTCTAAGAAAGGTGCGCACCTCGCCTTGCACCTCGAGCGCAAATTGACCCTCATGCTTTTTTGTGCCTTACGCTTATAAAACACTATTGGGGTCCTCTTTCTTTTCAAATTATATTTTTTGGGCCACAGATGTTTCCTCTTGTTATCTTTTCTGTTTCTGGACTGAACATCCTCCCTACGAATTTGCACATCATTCTTCGCATCCTTAAAACAAGTCAATCATTCCAGGCTTGTTTTCTTAATTGAAAGACTC